GTCAGACAATAAATGTCTACGTGAAAGTACTGTCTGAGTAGATTTGGAATAGTTTTTGGTGGAGGCGCCGATGGTGAAAAGTGTTAATGTATAAGATGTCTAAAGTAGATATGATAATTGCAATAATTTAAGGGCATAAGTTTTGTCCCTCCGGCAGAAAGCTAAACCAAATTTGGTAATTTTTAATGTAAGTAATTTTTAATTTTGCGCCGACTACGAAAAGGTTATTTAACATAATTTAATATAAAGGAAATAGAAATTATTTCATACTTTTCACTGTACCTTTTTTGAAATCGGTTAAATTTCTTTTCCAAAAAATTATTTTATTTCACTCTTTTTAGTGGCAATCTATAACCAATAGGTTTCATGCAATAACAATAGTTATGAGCAATATACAGGATGACCCAAAAACGTTGGAGGTCCTTGAAAGGGGTGTTTACAGGTGAGGCGGTGGGGAGGGGGGGGGTAATTTGAAACAATCTTTCCTTAGCGAAAATGGTGTTCGAGGCTTCGTTAAGGAGATATTCCAGAAACAGAAACTCACGACCAATCAGAGCGCGAGTTTCTGTTTCTGGAATATCTCCTTAACGAAGCCTCGAACAACATTTTCGCTATGAAAAAAATTTTTCAAATCACCTCCCGAAACATCCCACTCAAGGACATCCAACATTTTTTAGACACCCTTTATAGCTGCAAATGGGATTATCAGGAATGCATGTGCAACTAAATGTGGAAGGATTGATTGCGTTTGGTAAATTCCTTGCCGAACTACACCAGAGCATACCAATTTTGCACCATCAATGGTTTTATAAACATTGAAAGTGCCTATAAATTTTTGCAAATGGAAACATCACGAATTCATCTATCATGAAATGCGGAAGGCTCGAAGGCGGAAGAATAGAAATTTTGCAATAACAATAGTTATAAACAATAAGAAAAATCATTTTCGCAAAGTGATCAATTCAAAAACCTGCCCGGCAGCAAAATGTAAAGGCTTTCATCGATTTCATCGAATTCAGACCGAATATATGTGAAATAGTACAATCTTCGATAAGAAGTGCAATAAAGTGGTAAAAAATGAAAGTAAGTCAAATGTCTTTTTAAGCGTTTGTTACGTATGTACACCCGTACTTTTCGAAGCTCGCGTTCATTTACTTTATCTACCCCTTGGAATGTGGATTCTTACCAAAGTGCACCCTGCAGCTGTACCATACTTTTCTCATAATCATCTTTTAACTCGCGTTGCGTGGGTAACCCTTTATCTAAACTTTCCCTAAAGCCCCACAGATGTTTACCTCTGAGTAAAGAAAATCGCAACCGCCAAATTTCCATATATGGGAATCACTGACGTATCCCCACCAATATCTAGGGGTATATAAATCCATGATTTTCGTTACTCGCGGGATTAATACGAAAGAGTTACTTGGTAAAGTCGCGTCGATCGTTTTCAGAGTTGCGCTTCAGTGAGATCGGGCTTCAGATCCCTTTCGAACAACATTAACCATATAGATCCGCGAGGACGGTACAAAATCTATTACGGCATAAGAGCATTCTCGACCCCCGCATCGCCAGTGCGTTAACACTGTGCAACACTTAGGTAATTAAATTCATACACTAACCGCGACAACACGACACTGTACAATTGTATTATTAGAATTATTCAGTTTTGAATATATAATCATTTGTTAATCTTAAAAGGTCTGTTAAATCATTATTAGACCTTCACCATTGGAATAAGCAATCCTAACCAGAGTAACGACCCCACAACATAATAACTTTACCGCTCGAGTTATTATTTGTTTAGAATTAATAGTTGCGAGGCTTTATCCACGACGCGTATTATATTCCAACGATACGATTCAATCCTTACCTAACCTTCCCAACGGTTACCCTTCACCGGGAGATACCGATCCTACGGTTACCCTTAATTGGGAGATACCAATCTGTCCTTTCTTATTCTTTATCTAACCTTCCCAACGGTTACCCTTTATTGGGAGATACCGATCCTACGGTTACCCTTAATTGGGAGATACCAATTCTCAGCAGCTATCTGACTTTGCGTCAGAGTTGTCTGCGATTTCTACTCCATCCTCAATCTTTGGATCCATTGAAATAAACAGGACTAATCGTATCTTCCCCAAATCTTGAATTCATCCCACTCGCAGGGCTCACACGCGCGTCGCTATCGCTCTGGCTCGTAACACGTTTAAGAGGCAACGAAACCCTACCAAATGCAAGAAGATTCAATCCGATTGGTCAATTCGTTTCAGAATAAGAATTAATACAAAATTTTTCGTTTTTTTTTACGAAAAAAAAACAAGAAAAAAATGAGAAATTCCAACATTTTTTGGTAATGGGACCAGCCCGGAGACATGCTCTACAAAATGCAACAGGTTTCATCCCGATTGGTCAAACCGTCAGGATGTAATCGAGTAACATACATAAAAAAAAACGTGTCGAGTTGAGTAACCTCCTCCTTTTCGAAGTCGGTTAAAAATCTCGAGAAACACAGTGACATTTAAAAACATATTTTATCATTTTTATCTTCGTCATTCAGCTTCAGAATTTCATTACCTTCGCTACCTAATCACAGTGCCCTGTTCCATTTTAGCCCAAAAACGGTTTTAAGATCAGATCCTTCAAATACAAATATTGACATTCGACCTGAAACCTTACTTTTGTCAAAATAAAATATCAGAAGAACTAAAATAGAATAAATAGAAAAACAAGATACATGATTCACCCTTTATACGACACTGCCCTCGACATGTTTGTGGGGTGAGTGGCGAGTGCGTGTGCGTGTGTGTTGTTACGAGCCAGGGCGATAGCGACGCGCGTGTGAGCCCAGCGAGTGGGATAGATTTGAGAATTGAACCAATACGATTATTTATCATGTATCAATGGTGCCGAAGATTTGAGGATAGATTAGATAATACAGACGACTTTGACGCGATAGCTGCAGGAATCGGTATCTCCCAGTGAAGGGTAACCGTAGGTTAAGGTGTTTGGTTGTCTTGGTTATTGGAGACAAACGCAGACGACTCTGACGCGAAGTCAGGTAGCTGCTGGGAATTGGTATCTCCCAGTAAAGGGTAACCGTAGGGTAAGGTTCGAACTGTGAGGTTGTTGGAAAAAATGCAAATGACTCTGACGCGAAGTCAGATAGCTGCTAGGAATCGGTATCTCCCAGTAAAGGGTAACCGTAGGATAGGTTAAGTTTAGGAGTTCGGGTTGAGTACACAATGACTAAATCGTATCGATAATGAATACTACGCGTCGCGGATAAAGCCTCGCAACTTGTTAATTTAATAGAATAATAACTCGAGCGGTAAAGTTATTATGTTGTGGGATCGTTACACTGGCTAGGATTGGTGATTTCAAAGTAAAGGTTTGATGATTGATCTTACAGACTTTAAGTTTACACAAAAGAATATATTCAAAATAACTATACTAATTACAAGTGTCTAGTGTCGTGTTGTCGCGATTAGTGTATGAAGTTAAAATTACCTAAGTGTTGCTCGGTGTTGACGCACTGGCGATGCGGGGGTCAAGAGTACTTTTATGGCCGTAATAGATGAAACCCGTCTTCGCGGATCTATAAGGTTAACTATGATTGAAAGGAACTGAAGCCCGATCTCACTAGAGTACTACTCTGCAGACGATCAACGTGTCTCTAACGAGTAACTCTTTCGTACTAGCCCCCGAGCAACGAAAATCATGGGTTTATATACCCCTAAATGTTGGTGGGGAACCGTCAGTGATTTCCATATTAGGAAATTTGACGGTTAGGATTTTCGTTGCTCTGAGGTCGGCAGCTGTGTGCCCTGGGAAAAGGGTAGATTAGAAACTATCCCACGCAACGCGAGTCAAAGATGATATTAAGAGGATGCAGCTGCAGGATGCACTCCCGTGAGACCGAGCTCCAAATTCCAGAAGGGTAGATAAAATAAGATTAATAAACGCGAGCTTCTAAAAACGGAGAGTTTCTGTATACGTAACAGTGTGTTGCGTGAGAGCGACCGGGTCATGTCGCGACAGACCGGCGCCAATATGTTTGGAAGTTCGTTTGACTGAGAAAGCGTGTTAAAAGAATGTTTAAGATCGAATGATAGGATAGTATGAATGTTTATATGAGCTCATCGATGACCGACGCCGAAAGCCAAATGATAGCGAAGAATAAACGTTGTGTGAGTGTAACCGATGGATCCGTGGAACAGAGTGTTAGCGAGATGAATGCAAAGGGATGAATGTAGAAGTCTAAACGAAAAATAAGGCACGGGGATTCGAACCCCCGATCCTCGGATCCACAGTCGACCGCTTTACCTACGCTACCAATCTCATACCCTACGTTTCGTGTTCTTATTTGACTCCTTATTGTTGGGTATGGGAGGCGCGGATACTACATAAATGGGTATAAACGTATGGAAGTTCGACGAGTGAGTTAGTCTTTAGCGATCAGTCTTAGCAATTAGTTTCTGTATTGCGAGCTGCGTGATTTTAATATAATGTATATATAACCAACAAGTAAAGCACTTTTGAACCTTCCCCATTCCTCGAGAATTCTACATGTTTGATCCTCGTATCGTTCAAAATATTGAAATATTGTTGCGACGCTATGAAGATGCCGCACTACAGTTCCGAATTACATCGTCGCAACGGTGTGAAGATGTTGCGACGATGTGAAGTTGCGGAAACGAGTTCCCGCGCTTCCGGTTGCCAGGAAGCGGCAAACTTTTAAAATAGTAGAGAGCGATTCGAGAACTCAAAGAGAGAAGACGTTTCGTTACAAGTCTCCAAGATTATCGTTATATTATCGTTAAATTGTTTAAAAGTTATAGTTTGTTAATAAACTTTATATTTGATTAAAATGAATTCTCGTGCTTCAACCCCCCGGCGCAACAATATTACTCGTGCGTTATCTTTTGGTCTGAGAGTGTAATATGTACCCGGTATAATCGGAAATCGAAAAGCTATAGTGAACGACTCATTGCGTTTCGCAGGATTGGTGGACGGGTACCTGGTATGGAATCCGAGATGCCAGATGCTGTCGAAGGAGCCGCTGGACGCGGCGATTCGCTCCTACGTGAAGAAGGAGAAATTCGAAAATTGCTCGAACGATATTTATTTGACGAGTCTTGTTCGGGAGGAGAATGGCAGCATGGTACTGTTCGTCGATCCAGCGGCCACTGCGCTTCATCCTGGCCTAGAGTGCTGCTGGTCAGCCATTCTCCGACCAGAGAAGCGGCTAAAGTCTGGCAAAGACAAGGACGTAGAGTTGTCGGTTGTGTAAGTATTAAAATTAATATTAAGAGACAATTAAGATAGAATTAATAGTCAATTTCATTCTTACCAGAAAGAAACGATGGTGCGAATAACACTAAAGTTTTAAAAAGATGACTCTTAATTGAGTTATTGAATATCATAGATACATTATCGAGAGGACAGCAGTCATTGATTAGTAGACTGCGGATCTTTATGCAAAATAAAATCTTCGCGAACGTCCCTACAAAAATTGAACCTAAATAGGAATTTATTTTATTCTGTAAATATTATAACATGAACTTTACTTTCAATTATTTTTATATTCTTGCATATTGTTTGCATTTTGTAGGGTCTTGCACATTCAAATTTCCTATAAATGTATAAAGTTCCGCAGTCTATTGATTAGTATTTTCAATTTATCTTTTATATGCACTATTGTTAATGTAGAATGCTCTGTTGATACGATCAAGTAGGAATCTACTGAATGTTGTACTAGATTTTTGTATGAAATATCCCGATACGTTACACAATTCATAATTTGTTTAATTTCTACAACTCAGCTGACTTGTTGAGGGAAAAATATTCCTCAAACCATTAGGTTCTCTCTTACAAAAAATATTTGCATTTTATAGTTGAAGACTGGAAAAATATGCATTCTCAGACGAGTCAAAATGTAATTTATTTAGAGACTATGGCAAAGGATATGTGTGGAAGCAGTGCGTAACGTTACCAACTACCACGCTGAGAGCCTGAGTTCGAATCCCGATTTTTCATGGTTGGGTTAGGTCCGGTTAACAAATATAAAGCATAGAAAAGCGTATGGCGTAAAATAAAGTAATGGAAAAATACGAGAAAGAATCAGATAAGTGCAATAACTCCATGTACACATTGTTTGTGGTTGTGATAGAACTGGAGTGTCGGCAGAATTTAGGCTCCTTTGTAATCATGTGCCGTTAGGTCGTTAATATTTTTTCTCGAGCGACGCGAAAACTGAACGGAGGGCCAACAATAGTTTATGATATGCTCGCGAAATATGTCGCTTTCGGTTTGTAGCTGATTGCCGTCAATATCAAGCCATGAGCGCGTTGGGCCTTCCGTGAGTCACCAGGCGACCACCTACCCCTAGTTTCGAGGTTGTGGGGAAGACACCGCGACGGGGGTGAGCGTAGGACGAAAGGCGCCTTGATTGGGCCTTGTTCCTAAGATCGGGGCCCAGTCAGCGCGCCCCTTGGGCGCCAAGGCGTGGCAACGAAGACGAGGAAAGGGCATTGTGAGGTATCGTCGGTCGTTCGCCAAACGAATTCAATTCCGACCGGATAGTCGTCCGATAAGGGAATTCTCATCCGGATGAGAATCCTATGTTACGAGTCTTCGGACATTTTGATTTTTATCCTTCGATTAATAAAGTCCGGTTTCTTGGCGTGAAGCGAGTGTGCATGGTTTCTTTCAATACCCCATTTTATCCCGAACACGCATAGTAGTGCAATATGGGAGAAAGAGAGCCCCATGCACTTAAATCAAAACAAGCAAGCAAGCATATGTGCGGGGGCGGACAATAGCACAGTGGGTAGTGTAGTCGACTACACCTGGAAGTCAAATGCTTGGCGTGGCCAGGCAAAGCATTCTCAGATCATCAATACCCATACTTTCTCTCTCGCAGACTTTCACGTAATTTGTCAATTTAAAACTTTGACAATATGAGTACATAATCATTTTATTGTGTTTTAAAATATTTTTAAGGACACTCATTGACGCAGATACCTCTCCTCTCACAGGCTTTCAGATACTTTGTCAGTTTAAAACGCTTACAATATGAGTACATTTTCATTATTTTACATTTTAAAATAATTCTTATTCATCAAAACCTTGACCTTGCCTGGCCACGCCAAGCATTTGACTTCCAGGCGACGGACATCTAGGCAAATGTCTAAACAGTCTCAGTTTGTGGTTGATACACTATTTACCTTTTTCATTTCACCGCCAAAGTGCGGAGCAGTCAGTTTACATGAGTTGTCATTAGGGTCTGAACGTTTGCACTGTTGAACACAGCATTTGATATTATGTTACACAGTGTCACCTTGCACTTTACTGGAAAGGAGCTTCATGTACTGGCTGCTCATTTCGATTTCACATCTTTTTCTACTTTCTTGAATTTTTTTAAGGGGATCTTCTATTCTTCTATTCTTCTAATCTTCTATTTTTCTATGATTACTCTTTAAGTCCTCCACTTTTTCATGTACTTGGTGTAATTTTTTTACTTTTTTGAAGTTTTTTATGGGGATCTCACTTCTTTTTAGAAAGATAATTTGTATAGTGAATGACTTCAAATAATAGAAAATGGGAGATCAGTTTGAATCTTTTAAGGTTTCCAAAGTACGCGGAACGCATTGCAGGAAGAAAGAAAAAATGTAATCACTTTATCAGTAACATTTAAATGCAACAAGACTTTCTGTCATGTGTCGTGGGTACTTTTGAGAAATTAAAAGACTAAGTCTGGCCTCTCTTTTTCTATATTATTGTAATACAATAAATTATGTGTTACAAATAGTGGATCTCTGTTCATTTTCTTATTATTTAAATTTCTTGTAACAAAACTTTCTGCCATGCATTGTGTGTACTTTTGAAAATTCTAAGGACTGAAATTGATATTGCAATACGATAAATTGTGCGTTACAGATAGTGGATTCCTTTTTTCATTTCTCGTTTTATCTTTAACATTCGAATTTCTTGCAACAAGACTTTCTGCCACGCGTTCTGCGTACTTCTGAACTTTATTCTAATACAATAACTTATGCGTTACAAATAGTTGATTTTTTTTCATTTCTCACTTCATCTTTAACATTTAAATTTCTTGCAGTAAGACATCTTGCCATGCGTTCTGTATACTTTTGGAAACTTAAAGAACTGAAGCTGGTCTCTTTCCTATATCTGGCTTCAGACACATTATGTATATTGTAGACTCTATGCTTACTATAATAAAAGACAAATGTATTTTTATTTTAAGTTCTACATTAATTTGCAAGTAAAATAAGGTTTGTATGTGTTATTTACA